TGTCTGCGGTTGGCTGTGCAACGAACGGAACGGCAAGTGGGTTATGGTCCTTGACAGTGCCGACGACCCCGACGTGTTCGGCGCTGGCAGTAACCCTAAACGACGTCCGCTAGCTGCCTATCTTCCGCAGAGCCCAAACGGGTTTCTTCTCGTCACAACACGTGATAAGGATCTAGCTTCTAGGCTAGTAGGGGGGTACAAGAATACAATCAAGATCGGGCCAATGGCGCAGAGTGATGCTCTGTTGCTCCTGGAGAAGAAGCTGGGATCGCTCTCGGATACAGATATGGCGGTAAATCTCGTGCGGGCGCTCGACCTTGTGCCGCTTGCCATCAGCCAGGCGGCGGCCTACATTCAGAGAATGTCGCCACGGAGCTCGCCCAAGAAGTACCTAGACGAGTTCCGAAAGAGCGAGCGGAATCGGAGAAAGCTTCTGCAATATGATGGTGGGGACCTGCGGCGGGACGGAGGAGCATCTAACGCGATACTTACGACGTGGCAGATATCCTTTGACTACATCCGGTCTAAGCAGCCCTCTGCGGCGAATCTGCTGTCGCTTATGAGCTTCTTTGACCGACAAGGCATCCTTGGATGGGTGCTAAACCCTTCGAGAATTGCCCAGGACGGCGATGTTAGCTTCGAAGATGATGTGGCGATGCTAAGGGACTACTGTCTCATCACCGCAGACGAGACAGAGGACAAGTTTGAGATGCACGGGCTCGTGCAGCTGTCGACCAGGAGATGGCTAGAAACGTTTGGGCAGGAGGAGACGTTCAGGTGTGACGAACCGTTACAAGCACAGGAGTATTATCGCTGGGATAGAACAATAGAGTAACGGAGTAGTAGCCAAAAGGTACTGGTAGGTTGTGATAGCTATTGCTTGCTGAAGAACCGGTAACAAGAGGCCGGGGAAGGCCTTCTTTTATACCGGTCTTCATGGACCCGATATACTGGACCCGTGGACCCGGGCTTAGGACCCGGGGCTTCGGGTCCTCCCTTCGGGTCCGATCTGATTGGTCGGCTAGTCTAATCTCCATGATTGGATCGTAACACACGATAGAGACGTTGGTGAAACACAGGTTAGTATAACAGGGAAGGTATCGGGTCCTTTTGCATACGCAAGTAGTTTGTGACGAAGACGTCAGAATCTCCGGCCAGAACATCCAAAGCGGCAAGGAGTGAAAAGGGCTCACGGCGATAAGATGGAAAATGTAAGTAGGCAGGGCCTCGATCGTCAAAGGGGTAATAATATGCTTCGAAGCCGAGGTGGCTGTCCAGCATAGTTCCTCGTATTGGGTCGTATGTAATTGATAGTGATCGTTTGGCGCATGCGATGCCATCGATGTCGAATTGGTAGAATGTATTCCCGATGTTGATACCGACAACTCGCCGTTCTCTGTGCGACAAGTGATGTCAGCGACCTGGGATTTATATACCTTCAGCCGGGCACGGCTTTGGTACTAACGGTGGTGGTAGGCCGACCCGGGAAGGTGGGCGGCAGCGACGTTCGGCCACTGGTGCCGTCGGGTTGGTGTCGGATTGCGATGTTCGGTCCATTGAGCTTGTGGAATGCCAACAAATGATGAATATGGGGTAATCAAAAAAGAATGCTTTGATGGACGCTGGAAGTCCAATAAAAGTGAAGGGTGGCCGGATCGCTATAGAGATGATGGTTGAAACGGACAATGGGCGTTGATGGAGAAGTCCAGGAGGAGATATGAAGTGCAATGAAGTAGAATGAGGGAGAAACGGGACAAAAGAGGAAGATGACCCCGGCATGTCGAACTGCCAGAGGCATGAGATTCCAACCACCAAGCTTCGACACTTCTGGGCAGGATGCGATGCGATCACTTTGAAGACAGGATCTGTCGGTGCAGGACTAAGAATAGAAGGAACACTTTCAATCCGCCTTCCACAACTAGCACGAATCAGATCATCCATCAGACTGTTCTTGCCGGTTTCGCCATTGTGCACATTGGAAGTTCTGAACTTGCATGCACGCCTTGGCACCAAGGAGCAGCACCACAGAGAATTCTTGCAAATATTGTTCGACCGAAATGCTGACTTCCCGGCCCCCAGTGAGGGCTCCAAATACCAATACACCGTCTGGCTCAAACTCGACCACCTATCTTACAACCCCCTTCATAGTGTGCGCTCCGTGACAATGAAACCCCCCATGACGCCGTTCCCCTAGTCCTCCCTCAGCCGCCTTCCGCCGCCACCCCAAAACTTGGGGTTAACCTTATCATCCTCCGCCTTTTCCGCCTTCCCGTGCTTGTTCTCAAAGTCCCGATTATGCTCGTCCACCTCCGCCTGCTGCTCCTTGGTCAGCTTGGGATTCTCTCCGGGCACGCTAGCGTTGCTGATCTTGGGTTTGGCCGGTGCGCTCCGATGGGAGCTTGAGAGGGGTTCGCCGCCACCGGTGCGGCCGCGGGCGTCGCCGTTCGCTAGAGTGTCCGGGATGGCGAACTTGGCGGAATCGGTTGATGACGTACTGGACTTGGACTTGTTGGACTTATCCTTCCCTTCAGGGGCGTTGGGAATCTGGCCGCCGGTGGGCGAGGAGCCCGTCTCAACGGCTTCCTTGGAGCGAGAGCCGCCGGATTGGGCTGAAGCGTCCTCGGAAGATTTGGGCGAGGAGGACGTGCCGCTGCCGCTGCCGCCCGAGGAGCCGACGGTGGTCTGACCGGAGACGGTGCTCTGGCCGTAGCCGCCGGTGGATTGGACATGGCGGGAAGTATGAAGGGGTGCGATGCGGCCCGTGAAAAGGGCGGTGCGGGGCGCGGAGATGGCCCGGTAGAGGGTGCGGGAGGAGATGCGGTTCATTGTGCGATGCTCTAGGATGTTTCCTTTCTTGTTACGGTTCGTTTGATCTGTGAAGTTGAATGAGTTGTTTGTTTAAAGGGTCAAAAATACTCGGAATGTTTTAGGTAGGAGAGCAGTGTTCTGTTTAGGTGTTGGGGAAGTTAAAAGGAAAGGCATTGAAGTCCTGGCCATAGAGGTACTCACTTGAAAGTGACGTTATGGTCATGACATCACCAGTACAGCTGCAGTGCAAGGAGTCCTTGTCCAATCAATCCCACTGATTTGCGGCATGCGGGGAAGCACGAGCAATTGATCCACTCTAGGGAGCTTCTTATCTTATCGTTAATTCAACAAATGAGCCAAGGTACCTACATAGCTACCCGACCAACCTCCTCAACAGCGTAACAGCAATTCAAGCTCCACGGACATTGAACCGATACTGATCACCCCTATCCAGGTATACAACCTTGTCCTGGAACCCAGCCTCCTCAACCGCCTTCTTAAAGTCATCCAGCCCGGACAACATGACACTGTAATCATCAAAGTGCACCGGAATCGTCACGTCCGGATCCATCAACCTCATCAGCTTGATTCCCTGCTCCGCATCCATCGTTACCATGACCAACGGCAACTTGGGTCCGGGAATCGTGGTACCACCGAGATGAACCAACATCAAATCGATCTTCTCGTTCTTCAACCGCTGCGGAATCTCCTTCAGCTCGTCCACAAAGAGCGTGTCGCCCGAGATGTAGATGCGATAGCCCGTCTCGTCTCTGGCCTCTGACCCATCAGCCGAGTAGTTCAACTCAATCAACCACCCATTGGTCGGTGGGACAGCCCCAAGCAGGTCGTTCGCGGCAGCCAGCGGCCCGGGAGGGACGTGCTTCCCCGGCATGCCCGTCACCTTGACCACGGGCTTCTTCCCTCCTGTGTCGCCCTTGTAGTTGACCACCGGGAGAAGAATGGACTGGAAGAAATCCAGATCGTAGACGGCCTTGAACGGGTCTTCTTTGCCAGCCAATGCCTGCTTCGCATGCGGAGTGGAGATGATGGGGAAGTCCCTGTTCAAGCTCTCCTCCACCAGCTTGTCGAAATGGTCTTCGTGGTAATGGGACAAGAGGATGCAATCAAGCGGCGGTAGGGCGTCGATGTCAACCGCTGGGTTCTTCAACCGTTCGGCGGTTACGCCGGGTCCGAGGTGCACATGGTCACCGGCGTGGAGGAAGTTCGGGTCGGTCAGGATGCGGATGCCGTGCCATTCGATTACGGTGGTGGCGTTGCCGATGAAGTAGACACTGCCGGTTTCTTCACCTGTCGAGGCTTTGGTGGGATGGGTCTTGATGTTGGCCACGGGAAGGGCGGGTTCAGGTCCATGGTCGTGCGAATGCGAAGGGTCATGGTGGTGATGGTGTTCTAGCTGGGCTTTGAGGAGCGGGATCCGCTTGCTGGGGTCGAGCTCGAGACGGTGCACCTGTTGGGTCTCCATTTTTCGTCTTTGGATTGGATGTCAATGTTGATGATTATTCGGAACACCGTTCTTGTTGATCCTGATAATCTCTCTCTTTTGACAATGTCGTGTGGGTCTGCCGTGTCAGTTGTTCTTTTGATCTTTCCTTTCAAACTGAACAGCTTCATGGATCAATGATGTAATTGATGTGCTCGGGCCAGGCACCTCGCTATAGCGGCCCGCATCGGCTTGTGGAAACTCGTTCTTTCTCCCCATCAGGTCCTTTTACCAGCACTGCAATTTGTTCCTGACGATCACTTCCTCTTTTCACCACGCCAAATGATTCCCTTCTTCAACTTGAGTATGTTAACTCACGATGATTCCTCGTTCCAGTTTCATTCTTTCTGTCGTTCCCTACCATCGAAGCCTTTAGCCGCGTACTACAGCTGAGGCCGGAGCGTTGATCTCATGGGCCTTGGCGGGGTCAGCATTCCAGATCCGACTGCATCGAAGGCGAGACCAGCATGCAACGCCTCTCAACCCTTCGGAGGATGAGTGCCGACAACGTGTGTGTTGATGTTGCTTCCAACGGCTTCAGCGTTTGTCAGTTTGATACCCCCGTCTTGGGCGATGGTTTTCAACGGTTCAAGACAGAAAAAATCTTCCCCGTCTTGAGGTCTCCCACTCTCGGATGTCCACTCCCGGTATTACGACAAAACATGGCCGCATAGGGTTCTCTCATTCGCGATGCCGAAACATCCTCAAGATGTGTGTCCACGTGGACAACAACTCGACCGCAAATCCACGCTCAAGTTGACTTGCCGTATTTTACAAGTGTAAAATGTCCCCGAACGGACTGGAGCTGAATTATTGGAAGCTTTATCGAACCACAACCTGCTTTCGACTTCTCATCTGGCCACAATTCTTCTACAATCTATCGCTGCGGGGTAACGTCTCGGCCATCCTGCCCGATACTGTGCATGCTACCCGGGACCATTCTCAGGTGCATCCAGCCAAGCCAGTGACGATGAACCAAAGATGAAAGGAATCTGTTAGTTACAGAAGCACTTCCAATATGGATATGTCACTGCAGCATGCGCTGCTGCAGGGGAACAGACCCTATTGTTCATGCAGGTGTCTGACACGGTGGGCTCCCGTTGGCGATGTTTACTCAATGGCGGTTACCGTCCCCGACTCAGCTGAACCTCCGAGGAGTTCCCTGCACTTTCCACAGTGAACATTGCGGGACATTGTACGGTTTAGCCTTAGCCGTACGATACCCGTCCCGCAGCTTTTAGTTAAAGACTCACCCAACGACACCCCCATTCCTTCCCAAGCCCGTAATTTCAACTCCGCGGTACTCTTTCTTTCTTCCACCAAGCACATTCGCAAGGATGTCGAGCTCTCAAGATGCAAAGAGCCCCAAGGGCCCCGAGAGCCCCGAGAACACCAGCAGTCCCCAGGCTAAATCAGCTTCTCCAGAAGCCGGGCCCGCGCCGCTTGCAATGGTCCCGCTGACTGCTGAGGAAATAAGAGAAGCTGGTATCTTACCAGGCACGCACTGGACACAGCAGCCGGTAAACTTTACGTTCTTGCCAGCTACGGTACTGAATGTGCAGAAGCTGATTCTCATTTGTCCTGTCTAGATTGAGCATGTAAAGGAAGACGGTGCCTCCACCATTGGGTCGATTTCCTCCACCACCGCCTCACTCTCTTCGACCATTTTCCAGTACCGTACCCTCCACGGAAGGACATACCATGGCGATGTTGGTACTGCTGAGTCATGGGAACCTAACGACCAGCGTCACGTTGATGCTATGGAGCTCGGGTAAGTAAGGCCGAAATATTGTCAAAGTATCTAAGTCTGTGATCATTGTCTCAAGTCACCATGCATATACGCTCATCCTCGACGGGAAACCTTTTCTCTCGCCGCTCGAAAAGAAGTGGGTCCGTAAGGTGCTTGATGTTGGGACTGGTGGCGGACTATGGGCAATGTAGGTCAATGCTCAGTCATGTACCCTCTGGCCGATGTACTTCAGTTAACAAGTCTTAACCAGCTCACAGTGACTTTGCCGACGACTTTCCCAACGCCGAAGTAATCGGAACCGACGTGTCCCCCATCCAGCCTTCTTGGGTTCCTGCGAACCTCCACTTCGAGATCGATGACTGCAATCAGCAATGGACCTGGAATGAAATTTCCTTCGGTTTCATTCACACGCGTATGCTGATTGGTGTTGTAACCGATTGGCATGCCCTGCTCTGTAATGCTTTCCGTTGTCTTAAGCCGGGTGGATATGTCGAAAGTATGGTTTCTAGCGCCTATTTCCATAGTGATGATGGCACAGTTAAAGAGGGAAGTGCCTTGAGTCAGTATCATACCATCTTTTGGGAGGCTGGTAAGAAAATGGGCAGAGTATTCAAGGTCTTTGAAGATGATCTTCAGAGAAAGGGTATGGAAGACGCAGGGTTTGTTGATATTACAGTCCAGGATGTCAATATTCCATTTGGCACCTGGCCAGAAGACAAAAAGGCGGCGGAAATAGGCCTTTGGGTTAAGATCGCGCTCGAAACAGACCTTGAAGGTAAGTAACGTTCTCGGCCGTTGTATGAACCTTTGAAACTTGGATTTCTTATGCTAATCCTTTCTTCCAGGATACTTCAATTACGTCTGCAACAATTTGTTGGGCTGGAAGACAGACAAGACTGCAGCCTACATTGCCCATGTCAAGAAAGAGTGGAATGATCCTAACATCCACGGCTATATCTAGGATTGTGTGGTGTATGGCCGGAAGCGCGAGGAGAAAGAGGCGCTGTAAGGAGACAGGTTATCCTCTGAACAATTTCTGACTTCGACCCCTGCACCTGCGGAGGAGGAGGCGGAGGCAAGAGAATGGCGGGGACCGGAAGACGGCCGAAAGGCAGACACCGTTCGGGCCGTACCGTACCCCGCCTTCTCCACCAGAGCGGCCCGCATCGTCTGATGCTGCATGGTCATCATCCGCCGCCACTGCAAACTAAATTCATTCCACTCTCTACTGTACGAGATTCCTCCCTCCTTTCACCTACAGCCCAACCTCAATCTGAATGTCCTTGCTTAATTTTGTTTCGTCTTTCTTGTTCTCGAACGAAGTCGTTCTCGCCGTCGCCTAACCGGCGCATCAGCCCAGCTGTCCTTCCTGGCGACGGCCAGCTCTTCTTCACACCACGGTTGCTAATTCTCCCGCAATGAACATTCAAACCCCATGACATCTTCTCTAGGACACAATTCCACCTCGAAGCTGTCGCCACGGATCGTCTTGTTGAGCAGTCTGCTAACGCCCGGTTGCTCACCAGGATTGACTTCTAGCCCGATCTCCAAATGACACATTGGAGCACTAGGAGCACCTACATGACTTGATTTGGGCATTTCCCTGAGCAAAGTGATCCGCGCAACATCCTTTGACCCCCTATGCTACACTTGAGAACTTTATCTGTTTCCTACGTCACTTTCAACACTCGTTCGTTGCTCACGATTTCCTCTATTTGGCTGCGGGGTAATCGCAGCGCTCAACATCCCTGTTCCGTTCCAGACCGTGCCGTGCTCGCCGTGCCCCTGCCGAGCGGCACCCAGACATCATTCAGATCGGAAAATGCCAGCAACCCGTCTGAACCGGACCAACTCCCACAGGCCAGGACCACTTGCTTCAAGGACAAAACTGAGATGCGACCCGACGTGTCCCATTTCGTACGACCAGGCGTATCCTCGCGGGCTCCGAGGGACTGCTGGATTCGACTGCAGCTGCAATCTTCGTTTTTACTCGCAATGCCTGCTGCAGGGGCAGAAGGGGCAGAGCCGAGCTGCTGCACGCGCCAAGCATGGGTTACCCACTTCCTTGTACGGTTACCGTGTCCGACTGACCCCAGCTTCGAGTGTGCGTGTGTGTGGTCTAGAATTCCAGACAATGGGAGTATTTTGCATCATTCAACATCACCTGATTCTTTTTCGTTCACAAGCTTCAATCACCGATGGACTGGCCTCCAAGCTTCTCGGAAAGTTGTGTTAGCGGTTGGGACAGCCCCGAAGTCCGGCGCCTCCGCAGCTGTTACGACTCTCCAGGGCTGGGACTTGAGCGGGCGAGCCGGGAAGACAAAAGCGGCATAGCGAGGAGGAGCTATTTGGGTTACTGGCATCAATCCATTGGGTTGATGGGTGGCCCCTTGGAATCCCCAAACCCAGTGGTCTGTCACGGCTCTCAACCACAGCGTCCCGCCGTCCCTGGTCCCATGTTTTCTCTTGCTTATGCCACAGTTAAATCGGACGACGAAAAGACTGGTTGTTCCCGCTCGATACCCCTTCTTCCATCCTCATGGTTTTTAAGGCTCCCAACTGCCCACCCCCTGAACTGAACTCTCTTCGCTGCTTCAACTTCTGACTTTCCATATCGCTTTTTGTCTGTTCTTGCCGTTCTTGGCCTCAAAATTGCAGCCATGAGTTCCAGCAGCGCCCAGAGTCCCAAGAGTCCCAAGGCGGCATCTCCAACCCCGGCTGCCCCTGTTGCCCCCACGACTTTGCTCAGCGAGGAGGCTGCGACTGCCGCTGGTATTCTTCCTGCATCGCATTGGGCCGATCAGCCGGTTAGTCGAACTCTTTCAACTGCTCCATGTCCTATCACCGAGAACTCCACTAATCAGGCCCGTCATCTTTTCGCAGCTCCCTGAAGAACATCCGGACGACGACGGTGCTTCCACAATTGGATCGATCGTCTCCAGCACCGTTTCCTTGAGTAGCACTATATTCGAGTACCGCACCCACCATGGCAGAACCTACCACGGTGATATCGGTAACGCCGAGGCCTGGGAGCCCAATGACAAGCGTCACCTCGATTCCATGGATATTGCGTAAGTCAGGACTTTGCAACCGACTGTCCATACTTGATCAATGGCGCAATTGACGAAATCCCATGTTTTCCTGCATTGTCTTGGATGCCAACTTTGAGAGGTCTAGACAGCAAGAGTTACAGTCTGAATGCAAATACTGACAGCCCTTGAAGCCACCATACCCTCACACTATCCATCGGCGGAAAGCTTTTCCTGTCCCCTCTTGATAAGAAGAAGGTTCAGAAGGTGTTGGATGTCGGAACAGGCACCGGCCTTTGGGCCATGTAAGTTTCCCCGCAGCCGCTCTTCGGTCCGCTGTTTCCTTCCCGGGTATTCTTGGTCTAATATCATCTTGCTTCCCTCCAGCGATTTTGCCGATGAATTCCCCAACGCCGAGGTTATTGGTACCGACGTGTCCCCCATCCAGCCTTCGTGGGTACCTCCCAACGTCAAGTTCGAACTCGACGATTGTAACCGCGAGTGGACCTGGGCCGATAGCTCCTTTGACTTTATTCACATGCGATTGTTGATTGGTGTGGTTCAAGATTGGCACGCTCTCTTCCGCCAGGCCTTCCGGACCTGCAAGCCAGGCGGCTACGTGGAGAGCTTCGTCAGTTCTGCCCAATTTACGAGTGACGATGGGTCGGTAAAGCCAGGCAGCGCCCTGGACCAATGGGGCAAAGTCTTTACTCAAGGTGGTGAAAAATTTGGACGAACTTTCAACGTTATCGAGGAGGATCTGCAACGGTCGGGTATGGAGGCGGCCGGCTTCGTCGATATCGAGATCAAGGACATCATGTGCCCGATCGGTCTTTGGCACAAGGATAAGGAGGCTGCAGAGATAGGAATGTGGTGGAAGATGACGATTGAGATGGATCTCGAGGGTTATCTCAACTACATCTGCTCCGCCCTGCTGGGCTGGACACCAGAAGAGACCAAGGTCTTCGCCAGCCACGTCAGGAAGGAATGGGCTGATCCCAACATCCATGGCTACGTCATGTTGCGTGTCGCATGGGGCCGGAAGCCAGAGTAAGAGCTGCTGTGCTCGGGAAAGGGTCTGGACAAGGAAAGATTTGGAGCGGAGGCGGCGCCGGACTTGCGACACGGGTAGGGCAGGCAAGGCGGCCTCGGGATGGGTTATGCTGTTTTTTTTGTTGGGTTTCTGATGCGGGAGTGATTATAATGGAGCGACCGATTGGGGGGTTGTTAGAAGTAATGATCTGTTAAATTGACGAAGCTTTCGGTTACGGATTTGGGAATTATGTGGCGGGCTTTTTGTTGTTGTTGTTGTTATTTTTAACGTCTACTTCCGCCTCCCGTAGGGCATGAGACGTGCCGCACCGGTGAGTCTAGCATACAAAATTAAGAGCAATGCCCTAACTGTCCACCAAAACCATTAATCCGAGGGCAAACCGAGGCCTATTGCCAGTATAAATCATGTGTTGCCCATAGCGTAAACGCGGCCCAACACTTATAATCGAATCGCCCAGTGGGCGAATTATGTGGCGGGCGTGAAGACGGAAGCTTTCTCTTCGAGAAGGATCATTTCTTGCGAGTCTTTCCACTTCTCAGGTGGACGAGGGGAGCGAGAGAACTGATCCATATGCATCTTGAACGATAGGTATGTCTTGCATCTTTCTTTACATCATCAGACCCAAGGGTACGGAAACATTGCCCGTCCTGTCAGTGCTATGTTCAAAGGCCTCTCTCTTCCTCAGAGCGAACTGTCTACTTTATCTCATCATATTCAGGCAAGCATATTTCGTTCCTCAAGCTCTGCACATGTCTCACAGCCCTCACTGGATGAATCCGACAAGTTGTGTTGATAATGGCACTCCTTAGCAGTCTTTCAAGTGACGTATAGGCAGGAGAGCAAGGAAATATCAATGTTCAATGGCACATATGAACGACAAGTTGTAAGTTTGACTTCCTTTCCATCAATATCTTTATGGAAAGCCTAAGAGAATACGTTACTGACAGTCGGTACCTCGAATAACCACAACATCTGTCCACCAAGCTGCCAGCATAACAACCGGGTTTACTCCTTCTCTATACCAGATCAAGTAAGTACACTCCCTTTT